GGGGGAGGCGGGGGGGGGGGGGGGGGGGGGGGGGGGGGGGGGCAGAGGCAACATCAAAGAGGGTTTTGAAATGGATTCGGCGGGAAAACGGTGATCGTTCAGCCGGCGTTTTTATTTTATTTTGCCGGAATTTCGAACATGCCGGGGCCGCCGCCGCTGCGCGTCACCGTTCATTTTGATCATTAGACCGAACTTTTATTCCCGCGATCACAATTTCGGGTAATTAACGAGCCCGCGCGAAGCCGCCGCTCCTTTTTTTTCTCTCTCTCTCCACGCAACCTTCCCCCCTCCCCCGGCCGCCCTTCTCACGCAGAAGTTCCCGCCGGAGTGGGAAAAAGTTTTAACGAAGTGGGGCTTGCGGGCCAGGATTTAAATAAGCTGATTTATGATATACAGGGTGTCCCGGGTTCTTTTGGGTCGATCGGCATGTTGTAACGGCGAAAATAAGAAAAGAAAATGCCGCGCGAACATAGGCAAGAAAGTGATTTATTGAAAAAAATCGTAAGAAAAATGAGAAACGAGAGCGCGGCGATTTTCGTTCGAATCGAAAACGCGTTAGCGGGGAAAATAGATTTTTCAAATACTAAATGGACTGCAAATATTTGTACGTTCTCGTATCATACTGAATTTGACAAATAAACCTTTCTCGAAACAGTGGTTACACGTGAAACAATAGCGTTGCAAATATGTTTAATTGAGTAACGTCCGTATGCAGCTACAAAAGCTAGCTAAAAATGGTTTATCAGCCAAGTTCTGTATTTGCACGCGAAGATAAAAATATTTACACTCTATTTGCTGCTTCAAAAATCTATTTTTCCCAGCACTGTACGTTTTCGCCTGTATCACTGGACAACGTATTTATGCGAAATAAAAATTTAGTGCATCCGTTGCAAGAAACCGCACGAACATTTATTCCCGTTTCGAATCGTTCTAACGAGTTGTAAATATTACAATCGAATGATTGAATTCGTGTAACAGTGTCGGCGTGTTCCGCGTTTCATCTTTGTTATATTTTTGTTACATTTTCGTCTCGAATGCATAAAATTCGCGATGCAACGATCGCAACAACTCGCGCGGTTTTCGAAGAGATTGCCAAGGGGAACTTGGGGATGCGATCATCGTTTCCGCGTGACAGCCGGCGTGTGCGTGCACAGTTGTCCTCGCCACTGTGTATTCGCCGACCCTATTTTATTCTATTTTATTTTTCATCTTCCCCGACGAGAGTTATTCGTTAGCCGGATTGGCCACGCTCGCAGCAAATCCGGGTACTTGGGGCTTATCGTGGCTTTTTCTGCGGCTTTCCCCCCCACCCCTGCGAAATGCATTACAGGTCGATCTGAACACGGTCGTTTTAGTGCCGCGGGAAAACGGTGTTGCGATGCGTTGCCAATCATGCTACTGCCCCCCCCGTCCCTGCGCCGCCGGTCGGGCCTCTCCCCAGTGACTTCATAAATTGATTGACTTCGGCCACCGTAGAAATTCATTCGATTGCCGCGCAGCACCGTGCCCCGTTGCTTGCGCTTTGCGAGCGTTCGGCTACGTTCGGGAGACCGTTCGCGTGCGTTTAAATGGCCGGCGATTTCGGATCGGAGGAACGGCGAATAAAATTCGTGATTTCTCTCGCGTTGTCCGTCAATTTGGGAACGAAAATGGGCAACTTGGGAGGCGGGGATACGATTATTCGAGGCTCGAGGCTCGCTTTTATGGTTCTTCTCTTTTCAAGTTGTACATTTTCATGGATTTTGAAGAAAAATCCCTCATGGAGGGACAATGTGAGAGAAATTATCGTAGTTTTATTTATTATAGTTTTCAGCTTCATTGTGAAATATGCTGTTTTGTATTGGCCCGTAGACGTGGCTCAATATTACATCAAAGCAAAGGAATCTCTAGTGTCAACTTTTTAGCTACCCTGAGCTAGATGATAGTCTTTAATTTATTTAATAAGTTATACTGGTTCTGTTAACTTTAATTTGGAGCACCAAAGTGAAATAATTTCTTTGGCATCGATCTATAAATATATCTCGACAGCGCCAAAACACTTGGACCTTTGGTGCTAACTTTTTAGCTACCTTGAGCTAGAAGATAGTCCTTAATTTATTTAAAAAATTATACTGGCTCTGTTGGCTTTAGTTTGGAGCATCAAAGTGAAATAATTTCTTTGGCATCGATCTATAAATATATCTCGACAGCGCCAAAACACTTGGACCTTTGGTGCTAACTTTTTAGCTACCTTGAGCTAGAAGATAGTCCTTAATTTATTTAAAAAATTATACTGGCTCTGTTGGCTTTAGTTTGGAGCATCAAAGTGAAATAATTTCTTTGGCATCGATCTATAAATATATCTCGACAGCACCAAGTCACTTGGACCTTCGGTGCTAACTTTTTAGCTACCTTGAGCTAGATGAGAGTCTTTAATTAATTTAAAAAATTGTAATGGTTCTGTTGATTTCAGTTTGGAGCACCAAAGTGAAATAATTTCTTTGACATCGATCTATAAATATATCTCGACAGCGCCAAAGCACTTGAACTTTCGGTGCAAACTTTTTAGCTACCTTAAGCCAGATGATATTAATAAAGAAAAATAATGATATTATAGTAATTTCTCTCACATTGTCCGTCAGCTTGGGCGCAATGCGAGAGAAATATTACTGTGCATCGGACCGCAACACCGCGGCTTCCGCTAAACGAGCGAAATGTTCTCCGTTTAAAAAATTAATTTATTAGCGGGCACCGCGTGGTCCAGGGGATCATTGACTTTTTGATTATGGTCCCGGTGGATCCTCCCGGATCCGCTAAGCCAGTGTCCGCCAATAATTCGCCGGCCGGGGATGAAAAAGAAATTCGTCGACGCAAATAAGCGGCCAGCCAGTCGGCTACACGAAGTATCCTTCCGCCGTTAATAAAAACAGTTCCGGGGGAGGTCGCGGCGAAATATAGTGGGCACGAATGAAAATTTGCATTATTCCCAACGTAACAGCTGCAGCTTCTAATGGATGGCACGGTGTTTCTCAAAATATTCCACGAAAAATTTCGATCGGCCGGAGGCACTGCCCCGGAAAAATGGCCCCGAGCGGATACTTACGAGTTTAGCAGTTTGCGCCGACAGCATGTCCGCGTATTGTATTAGCGCCTGGAAGGTACCTGGAACAGAAGAACATTTACATTTTTATCGCACACAATTGAGACCGCAGCTTAATTAATCAGAGCTTGATTAATCGGAATTTTAACAGTAGATTTCGCAACTAGGAACTTCTTCATCGGTTATATCGTAGACAAATTTTTCCATGGAAGATTATGAATGGATTCTGAAAGTAGAGACTCTGAGCTTGAAAATGAGCGAAGTTTGCGCGGCGTACGACTTTTTTTGACCAAATTGTGAGAGTTTGAATATTTATTACTGTTTGAACGTCGTCAATTTTGCTGAAAATTTTCTACGATGACGTTTCGTATTTACCACGTGCTAGAAAAATTTATTAACAAAAAATAAGTTACGGCAATTGAAAGTAGAGGCTTCAGCCTTCAAAACGGTTCTATTTTGATCATCGTACGGTCTTCTTCAACGGAATTATGATCTGGTGAATATTAACTACTGTTCGAACTTCAGAAATTCGGTCGAAATTTATAGGCATGGGGTTGTTTAAAAATTATTTCTCGATGCTTTTCCATGGAGATTTTCGAACACTTTATATCGCAAATGAAAGCCAGAAGATCGTGCTTTCTGATGAATTGCTAATGATTCGTAAGAGATTTCGATGTCACGTCGAAAACAGGAAAAATCGTAGCTCGCGGTACCATAGTACCCAAAAACACAATTTCAGGACATGGTGTAGCTTCGAATGAATTTTTCTCCGCTTTCCCGTGGGAATTTTCGAACTTCTGAGACCTCGAATTGAAGCTGAAAGATCGTATTTTACGATGGATACGCGAAAGTTTCCAGAAAGATAAATCATAACATAAAAGATTTCGAAAAATGTACCCCTAGCGCCGGTTGACTAAATAAGTATCAGTTACGCGCCGTTCGTAAATTGATATTAAAATTGATCGCCTGAAATTTGTAACCGCAACAGTAACGGTTCAAATCGAATTTGTCGAACTGGTTGGAACCGCGAAATTCTGATTGCGGAGATAATGGGTGAAAATCGGTGGAGCGCCCGGCGAAAAATCGTGTAACGGCTGCGGGTGTATCGCAGCGTTCCATTTCGAAAACCGAGGGCGGCGCGGTTTCGCAACGGTGTGTTTGCGTTCTGCCCGGCGGCGTTGGATATTAAATACAGGAGAAATGAAACGGGAATAAAGGGCGCACGATTTACGGTAATATGTTGCGGCGTCGGACACTCTTTCGTCCCCGAAGAATTTTTATTGCCGGCCGGTGTTCGTCCGCGCGCGCGATCGAATAACGATGTGAATTGAATAACGTTTGCTGCGACGACCGAACGAAAAACTCTATGTATAACCCGTTGTCGCATTATATGGGCAATAAAATGTCGGCCGGTGTTTTTATGCAGATGAAATTCAACATTAACGTCATAAATATTCCCGGCGGGGACCGCGTGGCCGCGCGGAGCCATCGCCGAAATGAAAATCGGTCGACCGGTCGGCGACGATTCCATTAAACTCTCTTCATTCTTTTTTTACCCGGCACGCCAGATGGTCGATCGCTCTTTTTTTCCTCTATGACAGAGAAGACCGGGGTACGTTTATATCCGATCACCGCGAAAATACGCGGTAATTCGAGCTTCCGCGAATTATTATTCGCTCGCGATCACCGTCGATCGTTTTCACCAGATTTTGCGGCTGAAAATGTGGGGCGAATCATTTCCTCTTGCTCGCAGCATGTTTTGCAATTTTCTAAAAATGAAGTACGTGGAGATGTTGCAGAGATTAGGCTGTTTCGAGTGAGTATAGGATCGGTGATCTGCGATTTTTTTTTAGGGGATTATAGAATTTTGAAGATAGAGCTATTTTGCTTCGGAGTGCAAAATCGAGTGCCGGTGGCACACTTTTGATTCGAATAAATATAGATCGGTAAGAAAAAATCGTACAACGATGTTTTTGAGCTCGTTGGAAAGAGGAGACTTCGAGCTTGAAGATCGTCGTAGTTTCATCGACCAGAAAAATTATGTGAGTTCCGCAGAGACGTTTGAATACAAAAAATAACAATAAAACAACTATTTTCACTTTTGCCTCTGCAACTTCGAGCAAAAAAGTTATAGCAAATGTTAATTTGAAGTATTCGAAAGCGGAGATTTTGGTCTTCAAAATGAGCTAAGATTCATTGTCCTACGACCATTTTTTGCAAAGTTGCAATGATTTGAACGTCAAAGACTTTTCACATAGGATTTTGTTACTTCATTATACTTCGCCGATTTGACACCTTCGATTCAAAGAGCCATAAAATGGCAATAAAAAACCGTAGGATCATTTATTTGGCGTCATTGGAAAGAGGAGACTTCATTCTTCAAAATCACTGTAATTTCATTCCCGGAAAAAATTTTTCCAATTTACCACGAGTCTGTAAATTCGAAAAATGGTAAGAAAGAGAACATTGTTGCAGAAATTGTTGTAGTTAACGATGCAATAATCGTATGGTAAAATAATATAAGAGCATCGAAAGCGCATTGTTCGCGCTTTAAAATGAATCCCGATGCATCGTGCTGTGATATTTTTGAACAAAGTTACAGAGCTTCCATTATCAATAGTTGTTCAAACAATAACAATTCCGCAATTTTTGCTTCACGCAGACATTTTCTATTTTACGTAAAAATCCGCGGTCTAATGGCATTTCTGATCGACGCGGGCATTTTTTATTTTACATAAAAATCCGCAGTCTAATGGCATTTCCAATGGACGCGGACATTTTACATTTTACATAAAAATCCGCGGTCTAATGCGTTGCTGTTAATCGAAATTCTATTTTCGGGGAAAGGCAAAAATTGGAAAGCACCGCGTCACTGTTTTCGAATCGAATTATAAGAAAGCAAATGGGATCGCGTTTCGCGAAGCATAAAGACGAGCTGACAGCGAACCGGCCGTGTTCTCGTCGGAATAAATGACGGCGGAGGCTCGAACAAAACGGATCGTGCGTTCTACGAATTTCGAATCAAAGACAGAAACGAAGATGGCGCAAAGCCCCCGCGCGTCTGTTTCCCGGCGGTGAATTCGCTTCAGAAGCGTGTTTCAAATGGAATGAAATGAAATGAAATGAAAAATACAAATCTCCGATGGCCCCGGGGCCAACGCTGTTCGCGCACAGAGGGAGCAGCCGGGAACGCGGAAAAAACAGAGCGAACCTGCCAGTTGTGCGTGTGTTTTTAATTTAAAGCGCGGCCGCGCAACACCGAGATACAGGAGTGCCTCTTAAATTGAAATTCTTCCCGGAGATTTCTTTGAAAACACACAATGAAAAATGCCATCGGCGCCGAACCGTTTTCATCCGGCCGGAGTTAGGAATTCGTCGGCAATTAGAAAAACCTCGAAACAGAAAGTTCCGACGCGGAATTTGTTCAGCTAATTTTTCATTTCGCCCGGTCGACGTGACGAGTAACTGAAAAACTCGGGGAAGATAAGCAATTTGGAACGATCAACTTAGCCGCGATGCGCGCTAAACAACGCCTCGCGTCACGAGGGCTCAAGTGGGCGGAGCGTCCGCGGCCACGCCCATCGCGCCGAGCCAGCCGATTCGCTAAAATTCCAGCATCATCCGCGAAGAAACGTCTCGGTTGCGTCCAGCGGCTTTTTTGAGGGAATTATTTTTTCGTTTGTAGAGTAGAATATGTTGAGGCGGAGAAGCGAACCGAAAGTGGAGAATGAAAAATATAATTTCCGAAATATCTGCAGTAATTTCTCCCGGAAATGCTACATTTTGGGTTGCTGTGAATTTCTCTGGGCTAATCTTGCGCCTATGTAATTTATTGCTACCTCGATGCTAAGTTCGTCAAGATATTATTATTATTATTATTATTATATTACTATTGTTATATTATTATTATTAATATTATAATAATTATTATATATTATTATTATATTATATTTGTTATTATTACTGTATACAGTTAATGTATAATATTTGCCGACTGCCCCGAGTTTCCATAAAAACGAGCCACGAGACTCAAAAAAATCGTGTCTTAGCGCGACTTAGTATTCTCAGATTTGCCTTTCGATTTCGATTCGAAACAATTCCGGGAAAAATTCCTGTACGTGTCGCAATCTCGAGATCGGTCGGACAGCTTCTCGCCGGGATGACGGGAAATGGCAAGTTCTAAATCGAGGCCGACTTCTGCAGGCCTGGAAGGGCAGCGTCGAAAATAAAAGCCAAGATTGCTCGGAATCGAATCGGCAACAGGCCGGGCAGGGTGAAAAGGGGCGAAAAAGGATATGAAGATCGAATGGGCGAGCAGCCACTTGACCGAATGAAACTTTAATTGGACACTGCGAGGGCGCGCCTTGGCTTCAATTTGGGACCTATGCCTCTCTGATTCCGCCAATCAACGACTATTTGTCCGACTGTTCTTTGAAAATCTGTTGCTCCTTTTGTTCGCCTAGCTGTCGTTTAATTGAACGTCTCTTTCTTTGAACTTCCCCCGAAACAATTGCTCCGTGTGTATTGCTCGCTCCGCTCCGATCGTTCTACGCGCGTTTTACTAACGGTTCGGTGTCATTTAAGCACGCGTTCATTTAAATGATTATTTTTAAATGGAATATCTTTTATCCGGAAGTTTGTACAAGGAACGAAAATAATTAAATGTTACTGCGTGAACATATGCGTGAATTGCAAGATGTAGAAATTAAATAACAAGTCCGTCCTTTTTTAAAATGATTGAAGTAAATGAAAAATAACGTATTGACGTTTCTAAATTTAAAAAATTCTTTTACTATCTTGAACTGCATCCAATTAATTTTGCCTCGGACGCACAAAACTCCCGTTTTACTATCATTTATACGGATACAAATAACTTATTTATAACCATAAAATTGATTTCTAATTCATGAATACAAATTCAATTGTTATATATTAATTGTTATTTAATTGCTAATTATTTATTAGCGATTCGGCGCAGCGCGTCGAGCACGCGTCACAGTCAAAAAACAATACTTTTCGAAAGCATAGCGACCACGAAGTCGGCGAGTTCTTCAATAACTATGAACGTAAAAATTTGCAAATATCGTTGGAAGTGTAACAAATACGTATGGAATCGTGTGTAGCTTTGTTATGAGAAAATACGAATGGAGACGCGTTTCTACGGTAGAAGGGCCGTCCTTAAGTCGGTAAGAGGGTTTCTTGAAGTCGATAAATATTTGCCGGCTGTTTGAAGACAGATCCGCAGAAAAAGAAATTTGTGCAGCGCGAGGTTCTCGCGAGTCCTCCCGTCTCCCTCTGTGCCCGGCTTAAAAATAGAAACGTAAGAACAGGTGCTTTCGAGACACCCTTTGCAACACTCGAGCGCAATACCGAAAGTACCGACGGCACGAAATGCGCGCAGCGCGGCGTCGACGTCGCCGGCCCGGAATGTACACGTCAAGCACACTGAAGTACTAAAGTGCCGTGGCATGTCTGCCTCGCGAGAGTGGCATCTATACGGGGTGGGCTCCATGACTACTGTCTTTGTATTAGAAAGCTCGGAATCCGAGACGTGTACTTACTGTTCTTGGTGAAGGTGACGATTTTCAGGACCTTGCCGAACCGTGTGAATATCTGCAACAGAAAACAGCGACCACTCGTGTTAGACCTCAGATTCAACATCGTACAGATTTCATACATAAATCTTTACAGAAAAATTTCGTTTAACTCGAGCAGAGATATTTGAAACCCCCGAAAAACGAGAAAGGATCGACTATTTTTACTTTTTATTCCGCAACATAGGGTAAATTCTAGCAGAATTATGATTACGGTTGTTCGAAAGCGGAGATTTCGAGCTTTAAAATGAACCGAGGCTCATCGATCTACGATTTTTTTTCGCGAAGTTACGATGCTTTGAATATCGAAGACTTTTTACCTAGGATTTTGGGACCACATGAGTCGAGGCATCAAATGGTCGATTGCACACTTTTTATTCAAAGTGATATAAAATGACAAGAAAAAATCGTAGGATAATATTTTTGTACTCGTTGGAAAGGGAAAACTTCACGCTTGAATATCGTTTCAACTTCGTTCGCTAGAAAAAATTTTTGAACTCTCTACAGGTCATAGAATTCTAAAAATGACCAGAAAATAGGAACTGTTACTAAAATTATTGCAGTTGACGAGAAAATAATCGTATTATAAAACAAAATACGGGCCTGAAAAGCACATTTCGCGCCCTTTAAAATGAATCCAGGCTCGTTGTCCTACGATTTTTTTCAACGAAGTTTCAGAGTCTCGAATTCGACTGTCCAATAAAGAACTCGTTTTGCCTCGAAACAAGTCCCCTAACGCGGGCGCCTGCGCGGAAAGCTCGTTTCCACATCGTCCTGAGATTGTAAATAATTACGAACGCTTGATAAAATGAAAATACGAGAATATTACATTTGTTCACGTATTGTTAATTATTTGACTCACTCGAAACCGTTGTTCGAGCACCTCCCCGAACAAATTTATTTTCACGAAGCACTCCCGGCTAGTCCGCCGAGAATTCATGTGTGATTAATTTTTTTGCGTAACGCAGCCTCGAATTATTTAAGTAGCCGACTACGCTGTTAATATCGCTAATTTATTTCCGAGGGGTTCTCGCCAACATTATCGCAATTAAAAGCACTCAAGATCGCATCGTGATTTACATTGCAGCCGCAAAATTTTGCCGGGTAACGGGCATACACAAATTTCGTTAATTAACTCTATTCCCTTTCTATCTCCGGAGTAATTAAAAAATTACGGCCGCGGTCGTGCCGATTTTCATCCTATCTCTCCGCCGCGTCTCCGTCGTTTTTCGCATCGCGACGCGCCGCCCGCGGAAAAATAAACAGGTCGAGGAAACGTTAAACTCGCGGACCGTGCACGGCAAGGATCGGGCCCGGATACAATTTCGGCTGCGACGAGCTCCGATCGAGATCGATTCCCAAAATCATCGGTCTATAATTTCGGATCACGTCACCGGCGTCTACTCGAAAAATTGTTAAGACACGCGGTCGAGCGGAGCGGACGGGGAGCTCCTCGGTTAACCGGGTACAATCCCGCGAACTGAATTAATGAAAATAGTCATCGGAGTGCAGGGTCAGGGGGGACCTGTACATCCCCTCATCAGCAAGAAGTACCGGCACGGTCCCCAACACCCGTCGGCTCAATGGGAATTCGCGCAGGTGATGACGAAACTGCTAACCAGCACAAATATACGGCCTGGTATTATTAATGCAATCGTTCGACCACTCCGCCCGGCAAAATTCATGACAATGACGTCGGTGTTCGCCGGAGACCATGCGCGATTATTAGCCCGAGGCTCGGCGCTGAACATGACTGCGAATGTTGCGCGATACCGTCCGAAATTTCGACCTCGCCGCTCCGGGTGATTCGCATCGATCCTTCCCGAATCCGTTGCGGCGATATCCTTCCAACCGTCATTTGAAAAATAATTGAAGCCCGCGCGACAAAACCTCTGCGTGCTCCGAAAAAGAAACAATGAACAGAAATGTTGTTCAGTGATTGCAATCAATGAGAAACAGTGTAACAGTATTCCCAAATTGTCGATGTTCTGTATTTTATCATTTTTTTTTACACGAATGCATAAAATGGGCGGGGCATCGTGCGGTCGCCCGGCCTCCAGGGCGGGGCCAGGCGCCGGCCGCGCCAGTTAGACAGCGGGAGGGTCACGTGACGCCCGGTGACTCGGCCGAGCGGGCGGAGCCAAGCCAAGCCTACTGTCGCGCGGCTCCGGAGTCGAGAAAGTGTAGTTTTTGAAAAAGGTGTAACACTTGTAAAGCTGCAATTAACGTTTGTCGATAAACAACCGGTCGTCGAACGGTGTCGAACCGGACCGTAAATGTTTGATTAATAACGCGACAGGTATGTTTAATGGTCAGCTGTCCGGATAATTGTTCGAATTTGTGGAGCGCGCGTGCTCGCAATTATCAGGCCGAGTTTTCGGAAAAGTCCGCGGCTGCAACAAAAGCGGCCCGCGGTATTCTCCAACAAAGCTTCTTAAAATTCTATAATCCCCGCGCAATTACGAGAATTATTCGAATTAATTGATTCACCGGTGAGCGGGGGGCGTGCGAGCGCGCGCGCGCCGTGGGTGTAAATCACCGTGAATACCTAATGAACGTCATTAGTTCAAATCTCTTCGGCGGGCCTCGAAACTTGCGTTGAAGTAAATCCGTTAACGGAACAAACGTGCGCGCGATGCCGATATCCCTCTAATCGACTCGCCGTTCAATTTTCATCGGCTAAACGAATTCATAATGACGGAGGAAACATTAACCGCGGGGGAAATGTGGAATTATCTCGATTCGGCGAAACTCCGCTGTGAAAACGAGAATATACGGGCTTCATGGAGACATTCCAGATATCACACGTTATAGGACGGAAAAGAATTTTATAATTATTTTCTATTAATGCGGAACAATGAAATTCATTTCTCAGCTATAGTTGTAAATAAAAATACGGTGAAATACGAATATTAAATATCGAAGCTTGGAGAACGAATTTGCAACGAATTTGCTGTCAATTGACAGCGAATATGCGACAAATGCAAACTGATTAAGAAGAAATTAAGAAACAAATTCAAGAACAACCAGCCTCGCAAACGTTTCTTTCGCTTGGCCCCGTTATTTCCCGTTGCATTCTCCTTTGGTTTTCCGGTCGACTGATCGTTAAGCGAAAATAAATTCTTCATTTGATCCCCGGAGCGCGATATTGAATATTCGATGGAAACTAAAATGCGTGATACTGGCTGCATTAGCGATCTCCTACACCCCCGCAAATCCGTCCTCTTACGCGGCGAGTGGTTCCATTCACGTTTCCACATATTTTTCGCCTCGCTCCCGCGACATGAACTTTTGAAAGGCTCTATTTACTCGCTGAAAAAAATGCGCGACATATTTGGAACACTGTCGCGTCTTAATAATCATCCTGACGCTCGTTATTCTCTCTCGAAAATTAACCATTTATTCTGAGCAACGAATTTTTCAGAGACGTGAGACTCTTTTTGTTAATCCCTTGCACAAATGCAACGAAATGTAACACAAAAATGTAGCTATTAACTATTGAATTATGAATAAACAAACGATGGAAAACGATGGACGATAATTTAATAACGTGTTTAACTATGTTTCACCGACAATTAGAAATGCACTCGAAAGTAGAGATTTACGTTCTTGATAATTCTGTCAACTTTCGAAAATTATAGCAGCGTGAAAAAAAATCGTAGGATGTTCTAACTGAGCTCATTTAAAAGGGCGAAACTGCAACTGTATTCCTATAAAATTGCTGCTTTCTTTAAATCGATGTTTTACTATGCAATGCGCTGAAAAGTGAGTATGGTATTTTCGACAGATTTCGTTTAAGTTCGAAGTCTCTAGAAAGTTTCAAAAATTATAACTCTGTGAAAAAAGATCGTAAGACGTTCTAATTGAGCTCGTTTTAAAGGGCGAAGCTTCTACTTTCTACTGTAAAATTGTTCTCCAAAAGTAAGTTCGTATAGAGAAGATAATTCAGCTTATATTTTTAAGGGAACGCCGACACGACCATTACCGTTATTGCTCGTTATTAATACAAACACCGGACGGTGTTCCTCGTCCGCGTGACAAATTTCCGGATTTTTTTATATCACCTTTTTTCGGTTTTGGCCTCGTGTGCCATTCAACCGAGGCTCTATTTACGTCCGCGCTTTTCGTCCCCGATGATTGTTCGCGCGCGAAAAACTTTCGCGCTCGCTCTCCCTGTCCCCGTGCCACTCCGCGCGCGCGGCCAAATCCTTCGGTTTTTGTGCCCGACTGTTTGTTTGTTTTCCCGAAGCGTTTCGCCGGAAAGTACACCACCTTTTTTTTACGGCGATCGCGTTGCCCGGCGCGAAGTTGTAAATTCCGCGGACCGAGCACCCGCGGAAGTTTATGCGCCATCGTTCGCAGATGAAAAATCGACGTGCCTCGACGGTCTTCGATAATCGTGTCGCAAATCCTCGAATAAAAACACTGTGTACGAAACCGGCCCCTGAAAGCTTCAATTCGGTCCGCGAAAACAGAGCCGAAGCTCAAACCAAACAACCCCGTTGTACCTAACCTCGATTTTCGGCTAGGCGTGTTTTATTCACACATCAATGTTATCGTTAATAAAATTATTAAACTTCTCCAGTGATATTTAAATTCAAAAATTACCAAACACAACTATTTATACTTTTCACCGTGCGACTTAGAGTCTAAAAATCATAGGAAATTTTCACTTGTAGACATTCGAAAGCGGAGAGTTTAATCTTTAAAATGAGCTAAAGTTCATTGCTCCACGATTTTTCTTCACAAAGTTACAGTACTCTAAATATCAAAGAATATCTAGCTAGGATTTCATGACCTCATTAGTCAGGTATGATTTCTCACTTCTGATTCAACGGGCCATAAAATGGTAACAAAAAATCGTACTACCATTTTTTTGGGCTCGTTGGAAAGAAGAGACTTTATTTTCGGCAGCCAGTGCAGTTCTACTGGTTAAAAAAATTGTTCGAGCTCTACACAGGTCGGTGAAATTGAAAAACGATCCAAACGGGCATTGTTACTTGGATCTTTGGCTTTATT